AGAGCAGGCGCAGCCGGTCACAGCACAGCTAACGTCACTGGCTCCCACCCCAGCGAGGCAGACAGCCGGCTTCACGCCAGCAGCACGGCGTCAGCCAAGGCTGAAGCAAGGTACCTCCAGGCCCTCACCTGGTGTTCACCATCCCCTGCTTGCTCACGCAGGGATGAGTGCACCGTGCTCTCCTCGTGAGGGCAGGGCCTAGGGAAAAACATGAGCACGTTAGGGGAGAAACAGAGGGACACACTCCAGTTTCCACCGAGAAACAACGACTCTTCAGCCAGGCAGACACTGCTTATAACACTGGGAGTAGCACAAGCCTCGAGGGCACGTCTAGTGAAAGGGGAGAGGGTTTAATTTGATTTTGGGGAGGGCTCAGCTCACCCATGGAGCCCAAGAAGACATTCGGGAAGGTGAGCCCTCAGCCAGCACAGACAGAAGAGCCTGGGAATTCACGCTCAGGTGCCACCTCCTCCTTCAGCACGGTCACTAAAGGACTGCTGACACCCTTCCTCCCTGCTCTGCTGCAGGGTCATGGTTTTCTCCTCTCCTCATCGCTGTGATCACTCTGGGACTGCAGTGGCCACAGGAAGCTGCCACCTTCCCGGCCATGCCCCTCTCCAACCTGTTTGCCAACGCTGTGCTGAGGGCTCAGCACCTTCACCTCCTGGCTGCCGAGACATACAAGGAGTTCGTAAGTGCCGCGGCCTCTGCGCGTCATCTTCGCATTAGCTCGATGGTTTCAGGACCACGCCACAGCTTCCCAACCAGTATAACTTCCCAGAAACAGACTTTTCAACCGTTAGCGTCTTCTCTGTCAGCTCTCCGTGAAGAGAGAGGGTCTTAAGAGGATGGGACAGGTTATGTCCCATCAGCCTGGACCCCGTCTCCTCCTCATAGCTCTCTGCCCCCAGCTCTGACCTTGCACAGTCCCCTCCTCAGGGGCACCGCTGCCCGCGCCCGAACCCACCACACAGGGTCAGCTGCCAGGGAACCCTGGCTCTGAAAGCAGCAGGAGATATTTTGCAAGGCTTTCCTGTGACGGTCACCTTCGGCCCTGGCTGATTTCAAGTGCTTAAAACTATCCAGTTTCTGCTGCTGCCAGAAGCTGGCACGGGCTGTCACTTTGGCAAGAGCTGTCCTCAGGGGTCACCTACTCCCCAGGAGAACCCATTCCAAGCGAGTTTTGGATTCAGCTTAGCACTTTGGTTTAGCGAGGGGAAGACTTTTAGGTCCGATAGCTACTGTGCCAACACACGAACTCCTGTTCCTACCTGCCAACCCTGTGCAGAGACACCTCACCTCTCACATTCGTTTCTTGCAAAGAGTAACCATTCAGGAGAGCTTGAAGAAGTGTCTGTGGTCTTCTCCCAGCACAAGGGCAACAGATCTGAATGTATTTGGGATGTCTCCACAGGAACGCACCTATATCCCAGAGGACCAGAGACACGCCAACAAAAATTCTCAGGCAGCGTTTTGTTACTCAGAAACCATCCCTGCTCCCACAGGGAAGGATGATGCCCAGCAGAAATCGGTAAGTTCTCTCTCCACGGCAAGCACAGACCTGGCTGAAGAGCCCAGCTGTGCTTCGCCACAGGAAGGGACGGTTTCCATCTGTGAGCACACCAGTGCTTCCTGAGGTATCATTCCTCCTCTCCCTTTTTTACTATCTAAACCCTGCATGAAGAAAGAAAGAAAGACAGACCCTTCTGGGTCACGCTGTGAACCATATTCCCACCCCAAGGAGGAGAAAAGCTATTGTCTGCACAAGGCGTATGACTGGGTGGTGCTCCTCAGCTTGCAGACTTGTATCTGCTGAAGCTGCAGGAGCAGTGGCCCAACTCCGGGCTGTTGCAGAGGGAGAAGGTAACTCTACCAAATATCTCGCCTGCACAGCTTTGATCCTTCTTTTTTTGTTCCAGGACATGGAGCTTCTTCGGTTTTCGCTGGTTCTCATCCAGTCCTGGTTGACCCCGGTGCAATACCTCAGCAAGGTGTTCACAAACAATCTGGTTTTCGGCACCTCAGACAGAGTGTATGAAAAACTAAAGGATCTGGAGGAAGGGATCCAAGCTCTGATGAGGGTAAGTCGCAGCACATAGCACAACTACAGAATGACAGAAGTCTCCTGGACACAGGGCACTGAGCTCTCAGGGTCTTCTATGGGATCCAAAGACCATGGGAAACCTCCCTACCTTCCACTCTGAAGAGCAGGGGCATCCTTTGGACTTTGCTTAGCTTAGGATAATGAGATCACGACACACCATTGCACATGTTTCATCACTGGGGAGCGTAAGAAAACACGTAACAAATGTTACTCGGACTGCCAGAACCACCCAGGTAGCAGTACAGACCAGGCAGACCACAGCAGCCCAAGTCTTTCCAAACCCAGAACCAAAGAATCCTCAATCAGTTCAATCTGCTGTGCAAACAGCAACGAAAGGATGTTTGCTACATCTCCATGCAAAATACTTCAAAGTGGAGTAAATTTTATGAAGTTTGCCACCTGGCTGTAAGGGCTCAGTACATTTTACAAAAACTACCCAGCCAAGTCTCGCGTACAGATGGCAGCCCATATTCTGATGTTTCCCTCTTACGTTAATACAGGTCCCAGACAGCTGAGAGCTGGAGAGTGATCTTCTTCAAGGGTCACTCTTACTTTTTACTTTGTTATTCAATGAAATTGCTTATTATCTGCCAGGACACCTTTTCAGTTATGCTTACTCTGTAACTAAGTCTATTTGCCAGCATCACCATGCAGCTAGAGCTCTGAGACCTGTATCTGTGAGAAATGAGTCTGGACAATTCTTTCCACCTCCTAGCATCTCAACAGCTCTGAAAGGCAGGGCCTGAGAGTAAACAGAGATCTTCTGTCCCGGCATTTCTGCTGGAGTGAGTCGGGATGTGTACCAGTACCATTTCCACATTTTGTTCTCAATTTGATGTGTGCTTGGGCATTGAGAAGTGGTATGTAGAAACTAGACAAATAATCACATTTGATTTATTTACGACATTCTTTACTTAACCAAACCTGTCCTGTTTACTGTGGCAGCTGGGGAGCAGAGCAGGGCAGGAGTGGCAGACTGCAGATCTCCAGAGGCGTGCGGCTTGGGTCTGGGGCAGAGCCTTGCTCACTGGCAAAAGTGGGAGGAAAGAGATAATTATTGGCCCAATTCCCCCTCTCCTTGCCTAGAGTAGCTACGAGAGACCCTGCAACTGTCCCCTTACTCCAGCACCCTCCCAGACACACCCCTCCCTCCCTGCAGCCCTGTGCCCAGCTCCCTCCTCGCTGGCAGCACTTTGTGCAGCATCACCCCCGTGTCATTACCCCACCTGTAAGCACAGAAAGTCAGAAATACCTTTGATACTTGATTAAGGGGGGAGAAATCAACCCCAGCCTCCTCGAAAGCAAGATGGGGGCCTCAGCGATGGGCGCCTCGGAGGATGCTCGTCCCCAGGCCCCCAGCACCTCTCCGTCCCCTGGCAGGAGTGGCAGCACTTTGTGCAGCATCACCCCCGTGTCATTACCCCACCTGTAAGCACAGAAAGTCAGAAATACCTTTGATACTTGATTAAGGGGGGAGAAATCAACCCCAGCCTCCTCGAAAGCAAGATGGGGGCCTCAGCGATGGGCGCCTCGGAGGATGCTCGTCCCCAGGCCCCCAGCACCTCTCCGTCCCCTGGCAGGAGCTGGAGGACCGGAGCCCGCGGGGTCCCCAGATCCTCAAACCCACCTACGACAAATTCGACATCCACCTGCGCAACGAGGACGCCCTGCTGAAGAACTACGGCTTGCTCTCCTGCTTCAAGAAGGACCTGCACAAGGTGGAGACCTACCTGAAGGTGATGAGGTGCCGGCGCTACGGAGAGGGCAACTGCACCGTCTGACAACGGGGACGGCTCCCCAAGCACCCCGGGCCCTCGCCGGCCACGGCTGCCCCGCTCCCAGGGAAGAAAAT